TGGCAGAGGAGTTGGAACTAGATGATATTTAAGGTCCCTTCCAACCCAAACCATTCTATGATTTTATGATTAAAGCAAAATTCAGGGTCTGCAATGGAGCTTCCCCCAAGGCAGTTCTTGAGGCCAGCGTGAAGCACAGTTCATTTCCCAGGGATTTAACCATCTACAGGATGTAAATGGAAGTTTTATATATACTCTTCAAAAGTTCAGCCAAGTAATCTTTAATCTTACTGTATAAACACAAACCGCTGTAAACTGTTGAAAACATAAGGAATCTTCTCACATGAGAATAAATTATTCTTTTCTAAATTTGGGGAGGGGGAGAAAATAACGTTGTATATGGAGCCAAATACCTCAAACAGAGCAATTTTTTCCTCTCATTTCTGTTATTCGTAAAATTACTTTCCTTGATTTGAGGAGCACTGCAAAATGACTGGCAACTCATTCATACTCTTAATGGAAGTAAGAAAGTAACTGAAGACCTTTATAGTGATGCCTCAGAGTTTTTTGAACTTTTTTAACTTTTGCAGATTTTAGAAGTAGTTGTGTAGTTAGTGTAGATTTGAATGTAGCTGTATTGTATCCCTTACCCTGTAGCATAATGTTTACAAGTATTCAACCCTATTACACCATTTCATATCAATCCCTCTAAATTCTGTTAGCGTGTTTAATCTTCTTTTCAAGGTAGGATTGTAGAAAACCACTCTAGGCCTGGACCAGAAGATATCACACAGACACAGTGACTCTGTTCAAGCCCAGAACTTTGGAGGAGCTCCAAGGACTGTACGTGCTGCGAAGAAGATGAAGATGAGAAAGAAGGGGTCCCAAACGGTCCCAGATCTAATTCTCAAAGGGGTGTGTCACGGACCAAAACCGGGGGGTGGGTAGATCTCAGATTGGATATATCTTACTATAAAATCAATTGGAATAACTCTCTGGGTGAGCCCACTGCTAAGTGTATTCCCCTGGCCTGAGGCCTAATTAAAGGACCAACTCTCTTTATCTTATCTTACACACTAAACTGGCCTGGAGTCTTTTTCTCCACAGTCTCTTAAGACAACAATAGAAAGCTCTGACAACCTAACCCTTGTTGCTCAACAGGACAGAAGACAAATATCCTGCACTTGCTCAGGAGAGCAGGTGACTGACTTCAATGCATGTGATACAGCACCTGCACACTGCCCACATCCCTTGCTTGACACTGAACAGGGAGCACTGCCAGCATGGCTGTGGGTGCAGGAAGGACAGGGAGACAGGAAGGCACCTGGATCACCCACTGAACCCACCAATCTCTGCCAAGATGCTGCAGTGCGTATTAGTCATGACAGGGAAACCCTGGCCTTATGGGGCTTCTCCCGTGCTTCTTGGAGGGAAGAGGGAGATATGACATATCCATGCACTATTCTTGTGGTTCTGCATCGTAAATTTTAGCTGGCTTGCACCAAAAGGTACTGGGATCCTTTGTCAGGACAGAAAAAAAAAAAAAGAAACAATTCTAACCCACCATTAAAAGCAGACAGGCTGCCAACTCCACCGAAGGGAGAGGCTCCCTGCCTGCTGGTGCATGAGTCACAGCCCAACTCATGACCCAACCCTTCACAGCTTCAGTAATTTCCTGAAGTCTTCAAGCTGGTGCATACTTGCAATTTAAAAAAATCACTTATGCCTGGAGAGGAGGTAATTATGACCTGCCACTCCCGTCCTGTCACCTAGAACCAGATAGTGACATCTTCCTGTCTCATGGACAACTGACTGTGGGGATCATTTTGTTCTCGTGTAGCTTGTGTTCTCGATGGTGCAGCCAGAAAAGGCCTCTCAGCCTTGGTGTCAGGGCTGCGAGCATGGGGTTTTCCTGTCTGCAGCCAGGTTCAGCTGAGAGGCACTGTGACTCCTATCCTCTGAGAGCTGCTGGTACTCTTACCTCTGGCTTGTGGCTGAGCTGTGGCCCCTGCAGTGGTGCAGCCAACCTGAGAGCAGCACACATGCCAGTCCAGCCTCAGCACACCCCCAGAAAGGTCCCTGATGCCGAGGGCTGGGGCAGCCCTGGTGCCCCCCTCAGCTGGGGCAGTGGAACAGGTCCTGGCTGCCAGACCCTGCCCTGACAGACCTCCTTGGGAAGCCCCCACCGCTGTGCCCTGGCTTGGGTAAGTGTGTGCTCTCTATCCAACACACAGCTTGCTGTGGCTCAGCACAGCTGCAATTCTGGATACATGCCTGGGTATTTGAACCTTCTGGTTATTACTGTCATAGCACAAAGTGTCAACGCTCTTAAAATTAAGCCCGAGTCCAATTAAATCCCTTCCAGGACTGGAAGTCGTCATGTCCCACCTGAAGAGCCCCGTCCTCCATTCACAGAGAGTAGATACTCCTCCCAGCCCAGAGTGCATAGTGCTTCTCCAGGGAGAGGTATCTCCAGTTACACAGAATACCTGGTGCAGGGGGGTTGCCACACTGTACCACGACTGGCAGGGGGGTGTTCCACAGTGGCAGCATCACAGTCCCACTCAAGCAGGCATAACTGCGCATCCACCCTGATGGAGTACACCAGCCAGCAGCATCTGAAGGATGCTCAGCCTAAATTCTGAGACCACCTGTGATCCATGAACTGCAAGCTGCTCGAACAGATAAACAGAGCAAATGGAGAACCACTGCCAAAAATGTGCTGAGTTTTTTAGTGTTTAACATACATATTGCTCAGAACACAAACCAAGCTTTAAAAGAGCTCTCTGGAGTAAAACACTGTAGTTAAAAATATCAGATGATTGTTTAGGAAGATCATTCCTATCTTGTGAGCAATAGCTGGAAATTATTATCTCTGTTTTAATGGTACAAAACAGCAAAGGAAAGAAACACAGAAACTCACTAAAATCAGTGGAAGAATCTCACTGATTTAATCAGCACATGGAATCCAAGAACCTGTAACCTCTCACAGCAAAAACACGTTAGATAAGCACGGTAAACATTCCCTGGAAGGACACGGGATCCTTAGGTGGAGAAGTTATGCTTACAGGAAGAAGATAAGCTAAATGGAAACTGGCACAGAAGCACATAAAATGGGGACTCTGCTCCTCAACCAATGAATCATTTGCTTTGTGCAACACACTTATGTCAAAGGTGCCTGTCCTTCCCCACTAAAACACTGTGAATGAAACTCATGGAGCAACACCAGAAACACTGTTCCAGCAAAGCAACTCAGTCATACGCAAAGGCATTAACATTCATACAGCTGGAGGACAGAATTCAAGTTTTTCATTATTTATTAACTGATCCGTACCACAACTACTAGTTGCTGAGCTGTAAAGGCTACACTGCTCTATGTAAGATATATGTAAAAGCTACATTGCTCTATGTAAGATATGAAGAAGCTCTGGAAAATATTTTCCATTATTCCATCTCATTAAATGCTTTGTTTTTTTTCTCTCCAATCTCTTTGTAAATTTCATATTGTTTATTTTTACAAATACTTGCCTGTGCTATGTTCATTCTTTTGGCTGCTCTGTCCTGAAGTAAAACAGTCTAGTCTTTTGCCAGCTATTTCCTTTTGTCTTGCCAATGTTACTAAAAGAGACTTCCTTGCTGGCATGCACCTCCTCCCCGACTGGCTACCCAGAACAGAAGCATAGTCAGAAAAAGACCTCATTGATTCAGATGCAGTTTAATTTTACCACAAAGTTATGCACTGCCACAGCTAACTTCTCCGGGACTTTGAGCACTATACGTGATGCTTACAGCCTTTACACACAGCCTGTGAGGAAAAGGTTGCACCTGCTTGACTCGTCTCCCATTTTATTTCAGTGTCCTAATCCCTACAAGGACAACATGTGTGTTATGTCTGCCTAGACTTCTTTCTGTGGTTGGCCAAGTAGTCGCATGAGAGGAAATCCAAGAACAGAATACTCTGCTGGAGGCTCTGTTCCCTATAGCTGCATGAAAACACACCAAATTTGGCTTTACTAGAGACACCCTTTCACCTTATACCAAGGAAATTGTGTACTCTTAGACTTCCTTATGATATGTTCCAGGGCATACAGTACAAACTACATATGCTATGATAAAACCCAGAAAGCTTTGTATAGTGAAGGACAAGTCAGTACACACTAATTAGGCCAGCAGCCAGAACACTCTCCCATGTGGTCCTCTAAGACACAAACCTTCTTATTCAGTTCAGGAACCAAAAAATACACAATAAGACAGAGATGCTGCCAACCAAGAGGGAACACTGAGCACAGCAATGACTAAATCTTGTTCCTCTGACAAGCTAGATACCAAAGCCAGCTTCTTCAAGAGAGACCTATTCTCACCTTGAACCCAGAATTAGAAAGCCCCTCCTGTCAGCAGACATCTTCAGCTATATTTCAAGTTAACATACAGTATCCTTTAGCCCGTAGTCACAGCCAGTAGTGGCTCTAACAATGCCTGCTTCACTTTGTAAGAGTGTAGTCACACAAGCATACAGTAGCACAAATCCCTTCTCAGACTGAGAACATTCAAGCCAGCCATGAGAATACTCTGCCATTTTATAGGAGATGCATCTCAGAGTAGATCTGGGCTTCAAGCATAAACACTGAAGAAGCTCTATATTCCAGGGACATGGTAAAGTCATACAAGGGATCTCAGGCATATCCCGGGTTATGCAGTAGTTGACAGCTTTTCCCAGCAGCACAATTGCGGATTTTGATGATCAGTTCTGCCTCTACTGTACCCTTAAATATCATTATGACAAAAAGGGACTGTGGAGAAGATTGAACTCTGGGAACATTCTTCTTAGCTGCTTGGAGATGCCCCATGAGAGATGAGTAGGATTCATGGAGATACTCCTCTGAGGAAGGAGGGGCATGCAAAGGATAACAAGGCATCCTTTGGCAGTAAAGAGCAGGAAATCGCCCAGGAAGAGTCAGTGTCATCTCCACAGCTGTTACAGGCATAAACCACAGAGCCTCCTCTATGTACACTAAAATGCTGTAATTAATAGTTTCTGAGAGAACAAATGGAGTACTTGCCTGTATTTATGGATGATGGCATTAAATAATCTTCCATCACGCCAGCAGGTAGTGAAATTTTCACAACGTATTCCAGCGTAACCCTCCGTTGTTTGCTGCGACCACAGGAGCAGTCTCTCTTTAGCAGACATGTCCTCTGACTCTCCAGTAACATGGATATCAGATATCTAAAATAAAGTTAATATAAACATTACAGTTACATCTAACCCATAATAATACTTAAAATGTTGCAGGAAACCACTCTGAATTGCTGAAGAATTTATTGTCTATTATCTTCATATATGAATATGATGATTATTCATGTACTATATTAACACTCTTTCGTATTTTATGCTCACGTACTCTTAGTGTCTTCAATATGAAATACAAAATTCATAGCTTCACAATTTTCTTCAGTTAGCCAGTTCTCAGTCTCCTTATTTCTGGGGACAATATAATACTATTGCATAATGCAAAATACTTAACTATGTCTATTTTATGAAGATAACATAATCTATTTTTATGTATAATACTTCTTATACATAAATGCTATATAATTATTTATAAAATGTAATGTGTTTTATATGTATATAGTCCCACCTATACAATAGCCATATTTACATTATTCATACACTTCATTTAGCTACAAACTTTCTCTCTTAAAAAAGGTTAATTTATAGTATATGCTGTTCTAAAATTCCATAACAAAACAGTCATTTAGAGTGAAAGCTGATAATAAAAGCTTTAGGACAAAATTTTCTGGGAAGCATTTTACAAATTACTGAAAGACTGACAGATTATCAATAAAAATTTTGTCTGATAAAGAAAGCTTGTTTTCATATTATTTAAGTATTATCAACATTTCTTACTCTGAACATGTCCACTAGGTAAGCTCACTGTTGAAATTTTGGATGGCTAAAACATTAATTTAGCTCATTATACAAGGATCAACAGGTTGTACTATTTAAGGGTTATCAACTTCATTTCAGGGAAAGCAAGCAAATATTGGGAATTTTACATTCAAATACTAATTTATAGTACATTAAATTTTCCCCTAATGAAGTTCAGTCAGTTTGCTTAGAAAAATACCACTATATAAATATGTTGTCCTTCTTCTAAGTGACCACCTTTTACCACTTATCCAAACAAGAAGAGATAATATAGAGTTATTATGAAGAATGCTAGGGACCCAGGTACTATATAAGGCACTGTATAAGCACCAAAGTACTGTAGCTCAGCCATTACAAAAAGCAGGCAGAGGTTCTTAAGCAGAGGCAAGAAGGCTTGAGACACCACCATGGTTTGTGGGTGGACACCAAGGACCTCTGTGAGCCCACCTGGAAGAGGCTGCCCCACCACAAGCATGCACCCAGCACTGCAGGGAGAGACAGGTCTGCTCTGGCTCTGGAGCCAGCCTGAGGCCAGGGCTCAGGGGAGGTTTGCCCACAGACAACTCTGGGTGCTCAAGTTAGCTGCAGAAGAGCCTTAGCTTGAGCTGTGCCAATTCCAGCAATACTGTTCTAGTGTAAACAGTTATGTTCATGAGGTCAGATAGAACGGTCATAAGAACGTCTTCTGGCCTCAAAGTCTCTGCACACAAAGATATCTTCTGTTTGGGCTCTGACTGGGGGAATCCCAACAGGTTAGGCTGGAAATTACAGGGTTTCCTCACATTAGAGCCACACAAAACACAATGCCAAGAAGAAAGAGATGTAGCTTGCCTACTGATGTTGCTATGTCACTGCCTAAGATGAGGTGGTGGGAAGCAGTAGGAAGGAGGTGACTAAAGGAAGAGCCTTGGAGATCTCAGGGCAATGGAGCTTTCCGTAGTGCTCACTACAATTTCTGGTTTACCACCTTTCCCACTTTTAGGCAATGATGAGCATTTACAGCTAAACAGTAAATTGTAAGTAAATTTAATGTAGGAAAAAATTAATTTACATTATTTTCTATTCAAGTATCCACAAATCAAAAGTTGTGAATGCAGTTCTTCAGATATGTAGGTAAGGGAAAAATACAGGCACCAATGCTAGAAAGCTAAACAGTTTTAACTGTTCAACTAGCGCATAAATAACCTCAAAAGATTTGAGAGCATTTTTTGCATCCTATTGTCTCCAGTTTCAACACTGCAGGTTTTTAAGAAAGAAGAAAGGAAAAAATCACCTTTTTTTGTTCGAAACACAGAAGAGAACACATGCAGTTGTGATTGTTTGTAAGTTTCTAGATATCAAAATCCTGCAAAGAGTACTACATGAAATGGCAAAAAATACAGATGGGATGAGTTGTGTATGTGAAGACGACAGATAATCCAATGTGGCAGAAGACCAACCTAAAATCACTCTGAAAATTTTCTTGTAAAAATGCAGGGAACTTATCTGTAGTGTAAGACCTTTTTTCTGTGGGTTAGTTTTATTGTTTGGTATTTCAAAGCAAGAAAGCAAACCAAGTGTTGTTTCAGTAACTTTAGTTTCTATTCATCACAGAACAACCAGACCACAATATAAACCAAGTCAACCATTTACCGCTTATCCGGACAACGCTTCTGAAAGAGATGATGTCATCGGGAAGTGCCAGATGTCTAGCAAAAAAAAAAAAAAAATCCCCAAACCCTATATTTTTTCCCTGTCATTTTCAGAGTCTTCTGTGTATAATCCTTAATTATCAGATTTTTTAATATACTGTAGCATGAGCAAGCTAACAACATAATTTGCTAATGGCCATTCCTTACTGCTAAGTTCAAACGCTCAGTCTCCTTCACGGTTAATTGACCAGGGATGGCTATGTACATTTCAGACTGCACAGAGTGCTAACACAGCATGTTTGAGTGCACATTAGATTCCTCTGGAAACAAGTAATTTCAAACATCAAGGCAACTTCTGAAGGTCGTACTTGTATCTGTTGTTACACACACAAACACAAAGAGAACATTTCTTACTCTGAACATGAGCACTAGGCAAGCTCACTGTTGAAATTTTGGATGGCTAAAACTTTAATTTAGCTCCTTAAACGGAGATCAACACGCTTTTGATCCAAAATCTTCCAAGCACCATTCACTACCCTGGTTAGCCATCTGAAGAAAAAGGAATAAAGTAGACTGGGTTTAAAAACTGAAACTGCTTTTCACTCATGGAGGTAGCACATTTCACTACAGGTTAAGGAACACTAACATCAGCCTGAGACCTGAAATAGCCTGAGCACTTATGTTCTCTAAATAAAGTATTTCAGATTCCAAGGCTAACATTTCAGACATTCAAAACACAAAATTAATATTTTTTTAAAAGTATAAAAATACACTGAGGGAAATGGTGAGTCAAAGGGCTATATTTTATTACACTTACAAATATAAGCTCTACTTTGCAAGATGCCCTAATAACTTGAAACTATTTAACAAGTAAAATTCTACCACCACAAAATAAGGTGTCAAAGAAAGAGAGAGGGAGAGAGTGTGCACATTTTTCCTTTGATAGCCCCATAAGGATAGTATAGATACTCATTCACAACTGTGCATTACCATCAATATTTCTAATATCATTTTCCATAGCAGAAAAAACAGAAGGACTATTAAATTATGAATACTAGAACAGAAAATAAGTTAATGGGCAATCAAATCCTCTACTAGTCAAATTTTGTCCTTCCAAACAAAGTTTGCGTGAACCTTTCATATCTCACAAGCCTATCACTTACTCACTGTAAACTGTTACAGTGAGTAACAGTTCATTAAACATGGAACATTTGTTCATTAAACATGGAACAAATTACTGAGTTTGCATGAGTTTTAACAATTGTTTGCTAGAGATCCAGTTCTCCAAATTATCTCAAAGCTTGTGAATTAAAAGTTATGCAAGAGAAAGCGATAGAGGTAATTCTCTGCACATCCCTTCTATTTCAGGATCAAAGTCTTGATTGGCACTAAATACTCTCTTGCTTGTCACTGGGAGAACTCATTCACTTCTGCTACGGCACATGCTTTTTCTCAGCCTGTCAGTTCTCTTTTCATCACACAGTATGCAAAATCCATGCATCAAAAAGCCTCAAGCTCTTTCCTTCCATTGATTTCAGTGATATAGTTTTGAGCCCAAAGAGCAAGGTGGAGAAGACTTTCCAAAAGAAATCAGCAGTGGTGCTGGATTTCTGTGATTCATTTATACACTGCAAACAGAAGACGACCAGAACTCATATAGAAAGATGTCTTTCCTCTGATTTCATCTTATCCCATATGTTTTGAAACAAGTCTAAACTTGACTTAATGTACTTCACTGCACTATATAATGGGATAGAGATGTATGATGTATACATGTACTCAGATGTCACCTAGCCTAAACCAGAAAAATTTGAAGAACACAGAGAAATACAGAGTCCAGCTTTGAGCAAAACTCTTCAAAAAATACCAGATGAGTTGAAGCAGATAGGAAGAGAAAATAAGAATGACAAAGATCTAAAAATATGTGACCTGTTAGGAACACTGAAAAATTATGTTTATTTAGTCTAAAGTAGGGAAAACCAAGGGGAGATGTGATACAGTCTTCAAATATGAAAAATGCTGTTGCAGAAAATAAAGAAAATAAATCAACTCTTCTACAAATAGGGAAAAAAGTAATAATAATAAGCATGAGAAGCTTCTGCTAAAACCACTTTCCAATAGAAAAGACAGATAAGCAATAGAAAAATCACTCAGAGAATATGTGAAACTACCAATAAGGCAGACACAGAAGAACAAGTGTCAGTCAAGAATGGTTTTCATTAAGTTATCTTCCCTTTGGGTACAGAGATCACCTAGATGAGCTGTCCAGAGTCTTTCCAGCCCTAGTTTTTTAGTTCCATCAATGATTACAGATCTCCTTCATTCATGAGCATTTAAGGCAGATTACACCCGTTTCTTTTGAGTATTACAAGGAAGTAAACAATATTGTGCCAATAAAGCACAGCTCCTGACTTTTGCACCTTTGCCCTGCAAATCACATTCCAGAAGACCAACTGGCATTTCTCTCTCATTTGACTGTTCTACATGAATAAATAAGACATGATCATATGATGGTGGACATAGTCGGAAGGTATCTTATTATCTTACAACTATTTGCAATGACAATAAACAGAGGGCTACTTAGCCAGAAGTATTCCACTGAATATGCTGATCACAAATAATCTACGTTTTTTAACTTAAAAATATTGCCTTTAACATGACTCTAAT